CCGGCCCCGCACCGCCAGGCACCCCGGCACCTCTGGGTAAGCTACAACCCCACAACACGTCCCAGCAGCCCGGCAGAGCCGGGAGAAGACGCGGCACCGCTCACGGGGACGATCCCGCTGCCAAACTGAGGCCACCCCGTGCCAATGGCACTGCCGCGAAGGCACCGCAGGAAACCCCACCGGCCGTGGCATGGTCCGGCCCCGCACCGCCAGGCACCCCGGCACCTCTGGGTAAGCTACAACCCCACAACACGTCCCAGCAGCCCGGCAGAGCCGGGAGAAGACGCGGCACCGCTCACGGGGACGATCCCGCTGCCAAACTGAGGCCACCCCGTGCCAATGGCACTGCCGCGAAGGCACCGCAGGCAACCCCACCGGCCGTGGCATGGTCCCGACGAAGCCCGATATGAGGATTTCCCGTGACCCAACCGTTCCTGCAGCCATCGGCATGGGGGATCCCTTAAAAACCTGCTTCAGCGCCTAAACCAGGCACCCCACATCCCATCCCCATCCCGCGCACAGGAATGCTCCAGCATCCCAGTCCCGATGCCTCGGCGTGCTCTCCCCAGGGAGATTTTTGGCACCACCGGGATAATAGCGGCAAGACGGACCCGTTGGTGCTGGGGAGCCGTAACCGGATCCAGCCCTCGGCCGCTCCTCCGAAGGCCGATTGCGGAGGAGGCAGGGAGCCAGGGCGCCGTGCACGCTCGGAGCATGCTTGGTATGCGAGCGGCCCCGTGACCCGCGCGGGCTCGCGCCGTGACCTGCCGCACACCCTGCACTCCCCAGTACAGTAGGAGCCGTTTCCTGAAGTGCTGGCTTTGATGTATCCTCCAAATCTGGGTGATCAAAGGCGATGGGCTGCGGCGGGGAAGCCCCGGGGTCTGGCTGCCGTACAACTCCGGGCTGGTTCCAAACAGCCGAGCGCCGCCGCTGCCGCCCTGCGCACCACCAAAGCTGCAGCATCGCGTGGACGGGGAGAGGGTTTCAGCTAGAGATGCTCCTGGGCTGGCTGCGGTGGCATCTGCGGCTGGGGTGATGCATGAGGTGCCCCGGCATCCCCACGGCCATAGTGGGGCGATGCATGAGGTGCCCTGAGCATCTCCGTGGCCGTGCCAGGGCGACGCATGAGGTGTCCTGAGCACCCCCGTGGCCATGCCAGGACGATGTACAAGGTGCCCCAGCATCCCTGTGGCTGTGCCAGGGCGATGCAGGGGGTGCCCCGACATCCCCATGGCTGTACTGGGGCAACGTGCAAGTTGCTCCAACATCCCCACAGCCGTCCCGTGGTGACGCGTTACGGTACCCTGAGCATCCCCGTGGCCGCACTGGGGCAACGCACGAGATATCCTGACATCTCCACGACGGTACGCTGGGCAACGCATGAGATGCCCTAGGCACCCCCATGGCTGTGCCTGGGCGATGCACAACATGTCCTGACATCCCTATGTCCATGCCCAGGGCGATGCACGAGGTGCCCGGAGCATCCCTGCAGCCATGCCAGGGTGACGCTCGGGATGTCCCAACATCCCCATGGCCGCACTGGGGCAACGCACGAGATGCCCCGAGCATCCCCATGGCTGTGCTTGGGTGACATGTGAGGTGTCCCGGCAGACACCCTCACGACCATGCCCGGGGTGATGCACGAGGTGCCCGGAGCATCCCTGCAGCCATGCCAGGGTGACGCACGGGACACCCCAGCATCCCCATAGCTTGTGCCAAGCCAACGCACGAGATGCCCTGAGCGTCCCCATGGCTGTGCTTGGGTGACGCACAAGGTGTCCCAACATCCCCGTGACCGTGCCCGGGGCGGTACACGAGATGCCCTGAGCCTCCCCGTAGCCACGCTCGGATGATGCACACAGTGCCCCACCATCGCTCCCACCGTGCCGGGGCGCCGCCGCACGTGGTCCCCCGCCGTCCCCGGGGCCGTGCCGGGGCGAGGCAGGAGATGCCCCCCGTGTCCCCGACGGGCGCCTTCGGCTCCGCCTCGCCGTCCCCTGCCCGCTGCCCCCATCACAAAGGGGGCTTTCTCGTCTATTCTGTAAGCGGAGAAGCCGCTGGGGGACGGGGGCTGGGGG